ATGCTTGTTACAGCAGCCACAGGAGGCTAAGACACCGCTGACATAGCCGTATTCCCTGATGCTTTCATTTCCTTTCTGCTACACACTAGTCTCCAAGACATGTAGTTATCTGTTTGTTTGGTTCGTTGGGTTTTTCCCCCATATTCCCGCTGGACTGGGAGCACTAAAAGGGCATCATCTGGCGTTATATCCAGCACAAAGCAGGCGCTCCGGAAATAGTCGTTAAACACATGCATGCATGGAAGACGGTGGCATCACAAAGATCCATCTTCTGACTTCAAGTAAATGTTTCCTCCTCTATGCGTTCACAAAATGACAAAGCAAATGACAGTCTAACCAGTCATATTATGACACTGAGTGCCTGGTGCTTGTTAGGTCATACCACATCAATGTGAAGGGCACGCTGCCTCTCCGGAGCCCAGCTGTTGACAAAGTGAGGCACATCAGAGTAAAGTTGGCTCACTGGGCCTGAGGCAGAGTTTCTCAGTCTGGGCACTATTTATACTTCGAGGACAATTCTTTGTTTAAGGGAGGGTGGCCTGTCTGTGCATCTTAGAACATTCGGCGGCATCCCTGGTCTCCACCACCAGACACTGGTAGCATGTCCTTCCTGTCTCCATGCCCAGTTGTGATGACCAAAATGTCTCTAGACATTGCCAAGTATCCCCATCATGCAAAATCAACCCAAAGTAAGATCCACTGACCCAAGGGATCCACAAGTAGGCTAGTAAAGTCAGCCTCACCTGAGGCTGGGGAGAAGCACACTGCCAGTCCACACTGATGGAAATCCACCAGAAGCAATCTAATCAGGTCAAAGTCAAAGGTGCAGAGTAGGTGAGTCACTTTAGCTTGTGGACAAGTAAGAGAAGATGTGAGAGTCAGGGCCTGGGTCACAGGTTACCGGGGAGAAAGAGAAACTATCTGCTTGGGCTGGTGACCCCGGCAGGCCAGGTGAGCAGGAGGACCCAGGCGAGAAGGGACAGCCCTGTCATTTTCACTAACTGGCAGGCAGTCCTGAAGAGTGACCTAGGAATCAGCATTGCAAGTCAAAGGAGTCAACAAGGGACACACGTAGTGTTCCCACCAAGCACAAGGGCCTACACCCCAATTTCTCAATGGAGTGCCATTCCCACCTCAGCCTGGGAAAAGCAGGGAGCCCAGGCGGTTCACCCCAAGCTCACTGGCTTCACACCAAGGCCAGGGAACAGAGGATTTAGAGGGATGCACAGAGAGCCAGTGTCGAAGAGGATGATGGGGACATCTAGCATTTATTGGACACCTGCCCTGTGCCAAGCACGGTGTTAATCTAACTCAAAGTACCTAAAGATAACAGTTGTCAGTGCCCAGCCTCTATCTCCAATTTTTAAAAGGAAGATGAACAGACAGAACTGGTAGAAACACAATAGGAGCCTTTGAAACACTTCTCTAGTCCTTAATGGAGAAACCAGATAGAAATTCATAAAGAAGATGCCATGTGTTTCTGTATTTACAACAGCCCTTTTTTGGTTAATGTGTAAAATACTACAAGCCCCTTTGAAGCCCCATTTCCCTGTTCCCATTTTTTCTCTACTTCCTCCCTCCACAGGGGAAACCCTGATTCTTGCGGGTGATGAATACCTCTCTCATCTGTGCTTTTGATGATATATGTGTATATATTATCCACACTTAGGCTCACAAAATCATATATAATATTGTTTCCTGTTATTTTTCCATAAATTGTATCATGATGAAGATGTTCTTTTTCACTTTTTTCTCACTGTCTCCTCCCCCATATTAAGTTTTTTGAGAATTTCCCAGGTTGATATAGTTAGGCCTAATTTAATCATTGTATCTGTGGCAGAGTAATCCATGGCATAAATTACCTAATCTAATCCCCTACTGAGGAACATTTAAATCACTTCTGATTTGTTAACCAGTACGAACAACACTCCAATGAAAGTTCTGACACATATCATTCGTTGCGCATGCATAGGGGAATTTCTCTAGCCAGGGTCCCCAACCCTGTGCCAGGAACCCAGTACTGCCTAGGAACCAGTTAGGACCAGGCTGTACAGCAGGGGTGAGCAGTCGACGAGTGAGCAAAGTTGCACCTGTATTTATACCTGCTCCCCGTCACTTGCATGATCACCTGAGCTCTGCCTTTTGTCAGATCAGCAGCAGCATTAGATTCTCACAGGAGCACAAACCCTGTTGTGAACCGCACATGTGAGGGGTCTAGGTTGCACGCTCCTTATGAGAATCTCACGCCTGATGATCTGTCACTGTCTCCCATCACCCCCAGAGGGGACCGTCTAGTTGCAGGAAACATGCTCAGGGATCCCACTGATTTTACATTATGGTGAGTCATATAATTATTTCATTATATATTACAATGTAGTAGTAATAGAAACAAAGTGCACAATAAATACAATGTGCTAATAACAATAGAACGAAAGTGTACAGTAAACGTAAGGCACTTGAATCATCCTGAAACCATCCCCCACCAACCCAGCCCGTGGAAAAATTGGCTTCCACATAACCAGTCCCTGGTGCCAAAAACGCTGAGGACTGCTACTCTAGGGCCCAGATAGAGGAGTAGAGTTGCAGGAGCATAAAGCATAAATGCTCTGACTCAACTAGATATTAACAAAAGACTTCCCAAAGTATACATGGCTGAAACCATTTACACTCCCAACAGTGGGATAGGAGTTACTGCCTGCCAGAGTTTTATTTTCTCAAACCTTCAAGGAACTGATTATTTCTGTACTGTAGAAATAATTCCAGTGCATTGAGAAAGACAAAAACTCACTGAATGGTTTTTCCACAGTCAGCAGAACCTGAATGCCAGGGTCTGACACAGATTCCCCTCAGAAAAAGGTAATTAGAAAAAGTTCAAGCAAAAAGCTTCGGAAAGGTGCCGGCAAATCACACACCATGGTGAAGAGCAACTGATTCACACAATCCAGGAGCTATTTGGTTTAGAAAACTTGTAAAAATCCTCTCAAAATGTTAACAGGACAAAGGAAATAGAAGTATGTGATCATTTCTTATAAAGACAGTTGATAAGATTTAACATCCATTTCTGATACTTGAAATGATCAGTAACACCTTGTAAGATTTTGTTTTTTTGCTTTGGAGTTTTTTTGTTCTAGTTGTTTGTTTGTTTGTTGTTTTTTGGGGACAGGCTCTCAGTGAATTGCCCAGGCTGAAGTGCCGTGGTGGCACCATGCCATCTCAGCTCACTGCAACCTCCGCCTCCAGGGCTCAAGTGATCTTCCCATCTCAGCCTCTTGAGTGGTTGAGTGTGTGCCACCATGCCTGGTTGATTTTTTTTTTTATTGTTTGTTTGTTTGTTTTGTAGAGACAGAGTTTTGGCATGTTGCCCAGGCTGATCTCAAACTCCTGGGCTCAAGCAATCCACCAGCCTTGTCTTCTCAAAGTGCCGGGACTGCAGGAGTGTGCACCATAGGATTTTTTAAAATTCACATTCCAATCCAAAAATTACCATCAAATTTACTTGCAAAAGTACTAGCAGCATCCTATGAAAGTCACAAGGTAAGAGTACCCTTTACAACTAGTATTGTATGACATTATTTTAGAAGTGCCGAACAAAGCAATCAGACAAGAATATAAAAACAGTCATGAACATTGGAAAAGGCAAAACAATCATAATCTGTAGATAATAAGGTCGTATTACAGGAAAACCCAAAATAATAGAAAAACTATTAAAACAATAAAAATACAGTAACGTGATCAGTTATAAATAATACACAACAATCAATGACTATCTTACATGTAAATTATAACAAGTTAGAAAGTACATACTTTAGAAAACCATTTCCCCTGAAATACCTAAAAATAAATTTAACAATACACTTGCAGGACATGTGAAAAGTCAAAAATAAATTTCAGTGAAGATCTTCTTAAGAGATTTCAATACATGGAAATTCATGTCTTCTTTATTGGATAAGAAGACTCGATGCAATAAAGACATATTTTTTCTAGACATTCAGCATAATTGCAATGTGGGATGTATTGTACCTTAGACAAAAAGAGTGATTCTAAAGTTTACCTAGAAGAATAAACATCTTACAACCACCAAAAAAAAACTTTAAAAGAGTGGCATTGAAGAGCTTGTCTTGCTAAGTATCAAAAATGTATAAGATGATAACAGTTCAGTAAAGCATTGTGGTTTGAAACGTGAACCAAAAGATAGCTCAAAGAAACAAACTGAGATTATAGGAAGAGTCCCAAGTATGTAGATATTTTAGAACATAATACAGTGGTCATTTCTAATAATGGAGAATATGGAAATGGAACAGCTGAATCACCAATTGGGAAATAAAAAACTGGAAGCCAATCCATTTCTTACTGCAAAGTAAACTCCTGAAAGAACCAAGGTTTATAGGAAAAGGAAAAAATACTAAAAGCAAATATGGGAGAATATTTATATAATCACTAAGTTGGGGTTGATTGACCATTCTAAACATATGAGCATCAGAAAACACAAAATAAGACATACATTTAACAACATACATATTTACAACATTTCTGAACGGCTTTAAACTGGATAAGCAAAGCTAAAGACAACAACAATTTCATAATTCTTATTACAAAAGTTAATATTCACAATATACAAAGAGTGCTAACAAATCAATAAGAAAACAAGGTAGTATATGAAGAGAAACATTGACAAAGTATATGAAGAGATGTCTCACAAAAGAACAAATGCAAAAGGCTAATGGGCATGTTCAAGCTCACTATCAATCAAATAAAAATTAAATATCATTTTTTACCTAACAGATGGAATGAGAATTAAAACGTAGTTGGAAGCATTTAAGAAAACAGGCATTTTCATGCAGTCTTGGAGGGAAAGTAAAGTGAGCATCATTTCTGGAAGGTAGTTTGACATTATTGTTTACAAATGTAAAATGTTCATGCCTTTGAATCCAGCAATCCAATTTGGGGAATTTATTCTAAGGAGACCATTTCAGAAGTGGGAAAAATGCATGCATGAAAAAACTTTCTATACCCACCACTGAGTCTTGGTTAAGAAAAATGCAGTATGCGCTTGAATAAGTGCCCTGCAGCAATTGAACATGATAGTGAAATGTATTTATTGACTGGCAACATTACCTTTGACATTTTCAAAAGGCAGGTGCCAGCATATAATGTGGTGTCAACTACGTAAAATTACACACATGTAATTTGTACTTATTTGTATCTATATAGGTCAAAGGATTTTTCACTCTAGCTCTTTCCTAAAACTTTCATAGCCCCCAAAGTTTGCATGGTTCATTCTGTCTCATTGTTGAGAAGATCATCTCAAAATACACACCACCTGGAACTCTGTTATCTTGTGGTAGTCATGATCAGCATCTGAAAGTACCTGTGTGTTTCTTCGTTTTCTCATTGGCTTATATGCTGCCCCTCCCACGAGAAGTGACACTATGGGGCCAGGGCTGGCTGGTCCACTCAGAGCCTCCAGAGCCTGGCACAGATCTGGCCCAGAGTCCCTGCTTGGTAAATACTTGCTGGATGAATGCACGATGTTGAGAGAGCAGTATTTATCAAAGCACACTCTCTAGAAGAAATGTCAACCTGTGTTATGGAATGAGGTGTCCATCGGCAAGTAGGTTTTGGAAACATGGCATTGGATCAAGCCAATCCAAGGGTTTATTTGGTGCAGAACTTTTAAGAGCCTTCAATATACAAATGCACATTGTGACTGTCCAAGAGTCTCCCAGTTCTCTTGACTGCAGAAATCCCTCTCTCTTCAGCACCCTTGGAGCATCTTATATCATGGTACAGTGTGGGATGAACTATCTTCAGAAGAATATTCAGCAAAATATTAAATTGGGGGCTGAGATTAGAGCTGATCCCTGACTTGTCATCATACTGCCTGTGTTGTTTGAAGTGTTGACACTGAGTGAGCACAGATCATTTCATAAACACAGCAGTTTTTCAAGATAAAAGAATAAACATTAAAAATGCACTATTGTCTGAATCTCAAAATCAAGTTTATTTTCTAAAACCATGAATCCCATTGAAGTTGTTTTGAAAGAAGAAAGGCTGGCTTGAACCAAAAAGAAACACAGAAAGTAGCAGAACCAGGTTTTCCGTATTCAAATTCTACGTTCACCATAGACCTATTGAGCATCTTTGGGGAAATCACACTAGATCACAGTCTGTAGGTGACGGGGTGATGGATGCAGCAAACCACCATGGCATATGTATACCTAGGTAACAAACCTGCATGTTCTGCACATGTACCCCAGAACTTAAAATATAATTTAAAAAAAGAAGTACATATATCAAAGAGAAAAAAAATGAACCCCCTCATAAGTTGTGAGGATTCAGAGTAAAAATCTAATAAGCCCCAATAAACACTAGCTTTCCCCACTGTTATCAGCATTGATAAATCTAAATTTAATTGTGCCATCTAAATATGTTTGCATTCTACTTATTTCAGTCTGCTCAAATCATGGTCTCCCATATCCAAACTCTCCACAGACTAGAGCTGCCTCCATTTGCTAAGAAGTCAACAGACAAAGGTTCCAGGTGGGTCCCGTGTTTACTCCTGTTTACCATCAGGAGGTTCTGTGCTAGAGTCACCTTCAGCCTGTGACTGTGCCCATAGCCCTCTGCCTGCCAGTAAGGGCTGTGCTGAAGCAGGGCGACCATCAGAGCCCAGCCCTGGAAGAGCCTCTGCCGGGACGCATGCTGAGAAGCCAGTTCTCACAGCTGGATGTTCTGTTTGTTTATGGAGTGGTTATTGCAATAACATCTGGATTCCTTAACCAACATCAGGGAAAGCCAAAAATAACGTTTAGTTGCCTGGTGTATTTCAAAAGATGTAGCTTTTATTCTGCACGATCAGGAAGTAATTAGCAACTTAAACTTGATGCCTTCACTCAGAGTGGATTCCATGCCTCTCTTCCAGCAAGGAAAGCAGTGGAATTTGTTATTAATAAATTTCTACTGTCTACAGCAAATCCTTAGGTTTGATGCAAACAGAAGACCTTTCTGTCCTTCCTTTGAGTAATTTACAATTTGAGTTGCCTTTTTCATGGGGCCCCATGATGACTAAGAAAAGTGAAATGGAAAAATTACCCAGCAGCCTGATTATTCAACAACTTTTACCAAAACACAGTCATGGCTACTGTCCAAGCAGTGATGCGATATACCTGGGGGTGGGGAAGTGGGGAGAATCAACCAGGAAGAAATACTGAGCTTCAAGCGTAGCATGGAAAGGAAGGATTCAGGCTGGAGATTGGATTCATCTCTGCCTGGATCCCATCTCCGCTGCGTGACCTCCATTTCTGTCTAGAATCTGTGCTCTTCTCATCTTCTAAGTGGGGGAGTGACAGGACTGATGTTGCCATGCTACTTGGGAGGCCAATAAGAGCGTACACAAGGGGCTTTGCACCAATTTGGGCACAGAGTGTCGCACTTACCTAGTGGCTTTACTTCTGAGGGCTGCAGCACATAGCATTTCCACTGAACAGATGAGCACAGGCTCAGCAAGTGGGCAGTTGGAGGGTTGGGAGGGAAGCCCTCCAGCCTTCCGGGAGAGGCCCCTGCGCCACCTCCGGGTCCGAGCGTCCACACACCTCCACCTTATGATTATTAACTGAATATTTGCACACACCTTTCTCTTCATATAGAATGGTCCGCGGTTTTATAAATTTAAAAAATATTTTTAAAAACAAAGCTCAGGAAGCTGAAGTGACTCGCCCAAGGTCACACAGAGAACTGGAAGTAAATATGCATTTGGAACCCATTTCTCCAAGTATCACCAACAAGGTATGGCTCCCACTTCTCGTGGCAGTCACAGGCACAGCCTCCTCCTGGGTTGGAATTCTTCATTCCCATACAGGTCACTTTCTTTCCACATGTGCACAGACACAGGCACACAACACATGCACATGCAAATACACACGTGTCCACACACATGCATGCATGCATACACAAATGCCCAGCACACAGTAAGGGTTTAATAATGGCAGCACCAATTTCATTGCTGACATAATGACCCAAGGACAGTCTTAACAGAACAATTGCCTCATCTGTGTGATGGGGACAAACCTGGGAAGCCCCTTCAGGACTCCGTGGAGATTAAATGGCGGAGGGCACTCACAACACTTAGAATAGGGCCTGGTATCTAACGCAGACACAGTCAATGGTGGTTATTATTGTGGTCCTTGTTAATATTAGCCTTCCTTTGACTTATTTCCAAACCAAAACATGTCAAATTCTCCCCATCTCATCCTTTGGAATATGCATGTTGGCTCTGAGCAGTAGAAGAAATCTTGCCAGGAACTGCTTTTGCTCCTGGTGTGCAGAAAACGCAGCCCGAAGCTGGGCTTTGCACCTCTTCCACAAAGCCTTCTCTGCCTAAGTCAGGACCCCATGCCCCTCCTCATACAAAAGCTGCTGCCAACCAGCCAGACTACCCCCAGGTAACACAGCTCCTGAGAAACTCCAGATCCCCAAAGTGGATTCTTCCAGCTTTCTCCAAATAGAAAGGTTTTTAACATTTTTTAAAACTTAAACTCATTAGTTTAAAACCCCAAAGTGTTATTGTGCACATTTATCTTCCTACCATTATTTTTGAGATCAGAAAAAAATATAATTTTCCTTCTTGAGGAAACTCAAATTACATGTGCACTGACTTTCTTCAAGTAACACAACCCCAGCCCTAAAACTGATATCACCACCTTCCACAGCCTCATCATTAAACATGAGAGGCACAGGACGGGGAGGAAGCCACGGGAAGGCAGGAGGTAAATCACTGAGCTGGCCTCTGCCACGATTTCCTGGGAGCCCATAGGAAGGAGGGAGGTGGCATGGGGAACAAGAGCGGCCCTGAAGTGGGCTGGAGGTCACCTGAGCCCACGCAATCATTTATTTCCCTTGGTGGCCCATTGTCCCAGGGCCATCTGGAGCATGAGGCCAGCAGTGTCTATGAGTGACTGTGGCGTCTTTGTGCACTGCCTGACGGCCATATACACTGCAGGGACGGCCAAGATGCAGACACCACAGCCTGTGGGCCGGCCTAACGTGAAAGGAGATGGAGGGTTTGTCCTGAGTCCGTCCCTGCTGTTCTCACTGAACCTGAGTTTCCAGAAACCCCTATGCAGAGAAGATCTGAAGGAAGCTGCAGAATTTATCCCGTGAGTGTTCTCCCTGCTTCTTGTCATCTCCTCCCACCACAGACCTCGGGCTGGGTGGCTCCTCCCCCTCCCCCCTCTCCCAGCAGTGCCCACCCAGTGTCTCTCCTCCCAGAGGTGCTCACCCAGTGTCCGTCCTCTAGGCAATGCCCACCCTCCTCCCAGCAATGCCTTCCCAGTGTCCCTCCCCCCAGCAGTACCCACCCTCCTCTCAGAAATGCCCACCCCACATCCCTCCCCCCAGCAGCACCCACCCAGCATCCCTCCTCCCAGCAAGGCCTACCCAGCATCCTTCCTCCCAGCAGGACCTACCCAGCATCCTTCCTGCCTCCTCCAGCTGTGGCTCTCCTCCCTCCCCACCCCTCCTAGCATCCCTCCTGCCTCCTCTGTTCCCCAGACTTCCCTGCAGGAGGTGGGAGCCACAGGACAGGTAGGGTAAAGTGACTGAGAACAGAAGGGGGCCTGCAGCTGCCAGGCTGATGACAACTCTTGTGCCTCCATGTACTCCTATTTCGCAAACCTCAGAGGCCACATATTCCAGGTAAGGATACGAGGAGGTAGAGAAAGTTCTTTAGGTGGAGTGTGGAGAACAGAGGTCCATGCCCACCTGCCCTGGCTGAGTCATGTGATCCAGAAATAAACCTGCTACCGCTTGTATTAATTACTCTACTAAAATCAGCACATTCTTTGTGCCAGGCACTGGTCCATGCAACATTCAATAGCCTCATGAAAGACACAGCAAAAACAAATATATACTTAAAAGGGTGATCAATTTTGTGAAAGACATCAACAAGATAACGTCACAGAAAATAGCAGGGGCAGCCTACCTACATAGCTTGACCAAAGAAGGCCTCTCTGAAGAGTGACATTTAAGACAGGATGATGAATGTCTGGGAACAAGCTGCGCCATGTGTGGGAAAAGCTTCTGCAAACGCCCTGTGGGAGAAGAGAATTTGAAATTCTTTGAAAAACAGAAAGCAAAAACCATGTGGCTATGATTTGGAGCATGATGGGACCAAGGGAGGGGAGGAAACAGGCAGGGATGGGTCCCCGGGGCTTTTGCTCTAATTTTCACAGTGCAAGGGAGCCTCAGAGGATTTTAAGGAAGGGAAAGACGTGGCTGGTTGGCTTGTAAAGGATCACCCTGTGTGGGGAACAGGCTGCACAGGGGCAAGATGAGAAGCAGGGAGATCAGAGAGGAGACGTGGCTGCCACCCCATGGGAGACAGAGGCAGCTCAGGGAAGTGTTAGGAGAGAGGAAGAAGGCCACACGCTTGAGAAGCTGTCATGGTGACGGCCGCCTTCTTCCTCCCTCCTCGTGCACCATCTGGTTCTCAGTACGTTCTTCCTCACCCCAGGTGTGAGATGTGCAGTTCCATCCACTCAAATCCTCAATGCTGAGGGTCCTGGCCCCTGCCAGCAGCCCCTAGGGCTTCCTACTGGTCCCTGAGGTCTAGTATGGGCAACCCCTCAGAGGACACTGATGTCAGGACCCTAAGGAAACCTGAAAGATCCAAGTGGGGACATATGGAGAAGCAAGAGGGCCTCACAAGTGTCTCCAAGAGCTCAGCACCCAGAAAGGGATGCAGGGTCACCAAACAGGCCTCTTCATAGACGGACCTCCGCGTGAGGACACAGGCTGTGGCACTGACCTCTGAGCATGGAACTCTCTGTCTGCCGTCCCTGTGCTCCCTGTGTGGTTGGAACACTGGGGAATGGGCTCCCCATTCTCTGCATCTACCCTTCTTTCAAACACATTTTCTCTGTTTGGGAGGTATGTGTGGCTACATGAGAAAGTTAGTCTCAAATATGATTCTTCCTCGGTACTACTTAGGAGAGCTTTTCAGAAATACAGACTCCAGGACCCGTGGCGGGTCTATGGGATCAGAATTGTTCAGGAAGAGTTCCAGACGGCTCTTTTTTCCAAAAGCCCCCTAGAAAATTCAGAGGACCAGCTGCATTAGCCCAGTACCAAATGGAAGTAAAAATGCAGAGATGCATTGCTACCTTTCCCCAGAACTTGCTTTGAGGATCTGCCCTGCAATTCTAACGCACAACACCCACAAGAAATTCCAGCTAGGAGCTCCAGCGTCCCCAGGACACCTGCACTTCTGGCCAACTGGCCAAAAATTTGGCATTTCCCACAACCCCCTTAGGTTTCGAAATTTGCCAGAAAAACTGGCAGAACTCAGGAAACTGCTGCCATTACAAAATTACAGTTTTGTTATCTAAGGGTGGAAATGCAGCCCAGCCCAGTGAAGAGATGCATAGGGCCAGGCCTGGAAGGCTCCATGGCACCTCCCTGTGGATCAGGACAAGTCACCTGGATGTGCTCACCAGTGAGGACCTCACCTGAGCCCAAGTCCAGAATTTTTATTGGAGTTTCATGACATAGACATGATTGATTAACTCACTGGCCATGCAATTAAACTCAGTCTCCAGCCCTCCTACCTTTACTAGAAGACTGAAGTCATGTGGGTCAAAGCCCCAAGCCTCCAGTCACCTGGTCGGCCTTTCTGGTATGGTCAGCTTGCATCCCGGTAATTTCTCGAGCATGAACTCCGGCATGATTGGAAAGGCCCACCGTGAATAACACAGATTCCCCCTATCACTCAGGAAACTCCAAGGACTTAGAGATTTCCTCCCAGAAACCAGGGCCATAGCCCAGCCAAATCCTTTATCATCGGACAGGGAGATTTGTAACTGAACTGACGCTGTCACGGAAGAAAGCCATTTACGGTCTGGCCTCCAGCAGAATCAGTTGATAACAGCCTTGAGACCTCCACCTCCTTGTT